TTCGGCGACATTGGGGACTTTGGGACCGGGGGTTTTCTTTTTTTGAGGAGGGGTGAAGTTTCGGGTGAGGTGGAGGGAATTGAGTGTGGCTTCGAGGGAATTGGTTTGTTTGTTGTGGTTGTCTATCGAGGCTTCGAGGGTCGAGGTCTCTGTTGAAAGAGTGCGGGATTGGGAGAGGCGGAGGGGTGCAGCGAGTGCTTTTCGGCCTATTTTGAACTTCAATTAATGGCCTATGTAGACAAAGACACAATTACTTACCATGCCGTATGGCAATATTTCTTAATATCATTTTGAGGGTGTGTATGGCGATTTTGACGTTATCGAGACTTTTTTGAGATCTCGGACATTGATATCACGCTAGTGGGGCAATACACGCTAACCCCGTTTTGGAACATTATGATTTTTTTTTATGACGGCGACAATGTCTGAGACAATAATAACATTCATGAAAGTAAAAGTCTAAATTTCACATGTAGCATGAGATGTAAATTCTATTTATTTGCAAAGAAGGGTATAGAGTTGAATTCCCGCAAAACTATCAAATGGTTATCAAAAGGCAACATGATGCTTGTATGACTCCGTCTAAAAGATGGAGATCTACAGAGAATTGAAGTCTAACAATATCAACGCAAGCTCTAAAACATTAGATTAACGGCTCGTAGCGCGAGTCAATGCAAAAACTCCAACAATAACAATTGCAAGAGTTACAATGGCTCCAGGTAATAAGAGCTCATTTGGTACTCCTTGAATGACTTCCGCAGCTGGTGGTGGAGCTGCTGCCTTTCGTGACTTTGATTTAACTCGAGGTTCATCATCGCTTTCATCCTCAGAATCAACAACACGACGTCTTCTGATAGTAGCTGAGGCTGGTGGGGTAGCTACTTGAATGATAGGTGGCTGAGGATCTAAAGTAGCAGCCATTGGTGGCTTCTCAGGATCGTGAACGAACAAATCGACTTTGTCCCGATGTCCACTTCTAGCGAGGACAATTGCTTCCAGAAGATCTTCATCAGTTGTGATTGATACAGAATCACCCTCATCATCAAGATAACTGAGAGCGAAACCAGACGAGCCAATTTTCCCATCCTCCACGGTTGCTACACCTCCGACAGCATCAATTTCGGATCCCAACTTGCCTGTTACAGCAGAAATAAGTTCAGCTAAACCATGGCTGGCTATGACTTGAACTCGGTGTACACGTCCGCTTGGAGCCTTGAATTTGAATGCAAATGGAACATCCTCAGGAGGAATATCATTATGCCGACTCAAATGTGAATGCGAAGGAGAATCTACACCAACATGTGAAGCAGAATCGTTAGGAGCAACACTAGCATCCACTTGACGTTCATGACTTCTTGACATGTCTGGGGACATCAAAGAACGACCGCCAGTAGTATGATGATGACTTCCTTCACCAGATATCATTGATTCATTGTCATGCTCCAGAGACATCCAAAACTTATTCCATGCTGGCCCGCTATCACTTTCACCTGTTTGCATGGTGTTAATTTGCTCCAGGGTAGCATATGTAAGTTTGAGAACATCAACCATGCCGACAATTTCGCCTTGGTCGTTCATGACTGGTAAGTTCAAGTAATGTCCATCTAAACACGTCAGTCCATGTACATCTGAAGAAAATAAACCAAAACTTACCATGCATCTTTCTTAGCGCTGCTTGAATGGTCATATCCATAGGAGCAAAATCCGGGTGCGGGGTCATGACACGTACAACAGAGCAGTTGGAGGGGTCCAATCCGGGTGCGATAACACGTAAAACGACATCTTTACTTGTGAAAATACCAGTAATCGATCCCCCATCTTGTACAAGAACAGCCGTGGTATGGTTCTCCTTCATCAATGCAGCCGCCTCCTTGACGGATGTTCGTACGGTAACCGTTGTAGGTGGAATTCCATTAAGGACGGATTCCAAAGTAGGTCCAGACATTTTTGATCGAAGAGCTTCCACATATTGAATGATTTGTTGTGGTTGACTGGATCCCAATTCAGATTGAACACCTTCCAAAGCATCGTAAAGCTTTCTCGATGAGCTATAAGCACGCTCCAATTTTTCCATGGCGTCGTAAAAGCACTTTGTGATATCGAGAATACCTGAAATATCTTGGTTCTCGTCCATGACTGGCAAATGACGAAATCCCTTTCTAACCATCAAATCTAAGGCATCGGTAGCACTGGTATCGGTTCTCGCACAGAGAGGATTTTTGGTCATAATCTCTGCGATTGTGATGTTGGCGGCCTTGATTCCTGCTCCAACCACTCGGAATGCCAAATCTTTGGCAGTAAAAATGCCGGCAATGCGGTCGTCATCATCGGTAACTAGAACGCAATCTTCTCTCTTTGCTGCCATCAACTGTGCGGCCTCTGCTACAGTGGTATTCGGTTTGATCTGAAGGGCTTGACTTGGACGAAGGGCGAGAACGGTTCCTGGCGGGGCTTTTCTTGTTTGACGAGCACGACCTGTCGTCTTACTCTTCTTACTGAGATCCGTCTCGATCTTCCTCCGGATGGCCTGTGGAACTGTCAACCTCGATTTACTTTTTTGACGTCTAATTTGCGGCATGGTGGGATATTTGGCAACTGCACACACCACGAACGAATTTCGTGATATGCAAAGGATTGATAAAAATGACGACGGGAGAACAAGATGAAAGCATAATCGGAAAATAATATAACGTACCTCATCCCTCTTGGATTGTTTTGCTCTGCTTGCACTCATACTGGATCCACCGACTTCACTTTGTGTATTTGGAGTAGTTGCATTTGTCGCATGAGAATCTTGTGCGGGTCGAGGGATATTCGACGCCGGACTATTGCTAAAGACAGGCAATTGACCACGCGCCTGACCGCTGCGACTTGGTGTCCCACGCATTGTGCCCGTAGTGGATGCCATGATTAATTATGCGCTCACAACTTTATGAACGGGGTACCTGATTAGTTAGGTTGTGAGGGGGGTAGGTAGCTAAGTAGTTAGGTACTTGAGTCGTATGCTGATATGGCTCAGGGAATTCGGTATCAAATAATTAAAAAAGTTAATTGTGCCTCATCTACAAAGTAAATTATGGGAGAATTGATGAACAAGAGTTGAAGAGTTGAAGATTGATTAATTAAGTTTCGAAGTTTGGAAGTTTTTGGAAGAGATTCCGACGAAATGAAATGAAATGAAATGGGAACTAAATCTTCACACGAAATTGAATTTTGGGGGGTGGTTTATCTTTCCGGGAGTCTTTGGTAGGTATATAATGGACCAGAAGAAATTGAAGTACGGGTGATGGTTGATAGGGAAATACCGAGATTCCCATTCAATACTCTACCTGGGTAGCCCACCGGTCGAAGAAGAAGAAAAATGAAGGAATTTTTGGTACACGATTCCACCCGGAGATTGAATTGAGGACGATATTTCTTAGGATAGCTGGAAAAGGAAAATTCAAATTGGCGTGATCTCATGATTGGGTTTAAAAATAGACACTTGAGGATTCTTACTATGGACTAGGTGAGTGCTAGGGAGGTACTAGGGAGGGAGGTATTTGAATCAGTTTCAGATTGGAAATTCAAAGTGATTCATGGTGAAATCATCAATCCTGTGTGTAGTTGAGTAGGATGTGGTGTGTGTGGTGTGTGTGTGGTGTGTGGTGTGTGGTGTTTGGTATGCGGCATGTGGTATGTGTGTGGTATGTACCTAGGAAGTAGTAGGTAGATGTCGATGTCGATGTAGATGTAGTACGGACGATCTAAGATGTCGTAGTAGGTAGGTAGGTCATCACACCTAGCATCTGATTCATTGGCTGCCCTAGATATCTAGACAGCAGTCATACAATAACATTGATGGAAAATGTACAGATGATCCAACATACCTAGGTACATAGGTGTAGGTACATAGGTAGGTACACCAGCACAATATAAATCAATATAAATCAAGTACAAATCAAGTACAAATCAAGTATAAATCACGCATAAATCGTGTATAAATCATCTACAAATCAAGTATAAATCTTCCAACATAAATCACACAATAGAGCATCCATATCCTATGAACCTAACAATCATCCAGCACTCGAGCACTCACACATCCCTTCACACTCCCCTTCCCCTTCCCGTCTGCTAATCTGCAAATGGCCCTCGGGAAGTCCTCAAATTGACTTTGTATACCACAATGCCCATCTCCCTCTCTCCCTCTTAGAACTTTCCCTACCGGAGGTCATTGATTGGCCATCTTCCCCAAATTATTGATTTTGCTTACTCTCACCATTTTAATAAAGTTTATCCGAAGTTTGATATTTATAAAGGACAAATCCAACCCAATTCAATCCAATCCATCGCACACGGATCATCTCATTAAGGTATTTTATCTTGTATTTATCTTGATTCATCTGGATTTATCTGTATTCATCTTTCATTGGCTAAAGAGTCCAAATTCGTTGCTATCCCAACCGACCCTCGGATTTGTTGATTTTGGCGCCTGAGATAACATCAGCTTTCAGGACGCGCGCTGGACTATCTAAACCTTCAATTCCTCTCTTCGCTCCCCTCATCCTTCATTTATCTCTCCACACATCCCCACAAATTCATATCCAGATTCAAAACAGAATCACATTCTCCAAAAGAAAGAATTATATTACCACCTACATTTTAATCCTACCAAAGTAGATCACACTTCCTCTACCGGAGAAGACTTTCGTTAGAAACACCCCCCATTAGCTAATTGCTCCATTGATTCAAAGGGCTGAGGAAGTCCTATATCTATTATAAAAAAAGACTCAAAAAAGAGTCAAGCACTGCTGAACAATCCTGAGATCAACATTTGCCCGGCCTAACGGCTTGCGCTGCGTGAGGTATGTATGTACGATTATGGATATCTAGACCGCTCTATCTTCATACATCGATCATCGCGCTAATTCATGCATTGCATAGTCTCGGAACATATAGGTTTGCTTAATTGCAATACTTTCAATCGACATCATTTCCGAACTCTTCGAGCATTCATAATGCTGTCTAATCCATCCAACAACCTTCAAAATCGACATCGACAACATCGACGACAAAATTCGACTCCAACCGCATTCGATGCAGTGAAGGCAAACAACCTGCCACCGGTTCAAAGACATGCCCACAGGCGTGGGATGAGTCTGGATACACGACCACGTCCAATTCAACAGCAGGGTCAATCGGTAAGTAATACTAACATAGGATATCAAACGACACAACAGCATATTTTGCGAGAGACGCAGCAGCAGAGACTGGTTCGCCCGGGCCAGCAGCCATTTCCTATTTACGACAATGACGAGAATCATTTTGTTTCACCACTCGTCACCCCACACAGACAATCGTTCGACTCCGGATGTTCAAATCCATATGAGGTGCAAGGTCATCAACACTCATATTCATATTCCGGCCCAATGAACCCAATAATACCAGTCGACCCAAACTTCAATGGGAACAACGAGTTCGACTTCTTCACTACAAACACAGCAATGACACCAACATTCATGGAATTCTTTCAGGATTCCGAGGTACAAAGTGTCCATTCACAACCAAGTTCTGCAACCCACAGCAGACGATCATCGAGAAGGATAAGTGGTGTCATTTTGGAGGGGGTTGCTCAATTCGAGAATCTAGCTTTGAAATCACCATCAAGACCCATTACACCTCCAGATGCAAACTCTACCAGTAAGTTCTCATCCTAGGTTTTCGGATATGTTCTCATTGTTCTAGATTACTTTCCCCCAGCTCCCCTAGAAAGCCCATACGACCGAACCATCAAGCTGGAACACATCCCACAAAGATTTCGTGATGATTACGACACATCTATGGAGGAAACGATCAAACCTAAAAGTAATCAGAGAACCAAGAATGTTTTTGACGACATGAGACGAGAAGCTGAGATGAAAGCCGAACCTGCCCCACTAGGATCAGGACCCATACCCACTGCCAGCACATTTGACTCCGCACCGATGCCAACATCGAATTTCATGAATATGTCGACTATTAACCTCGATTTTATGAAAAATGATCCACAATTTCAAGCGGCACAATACTCACCGACTTCTTCTAATGTTTCACAAGATCTATCATATCCCTCATCTCCAGAACAATCCCGAAGAAATGTTTTCAGAGATCCTTTCACAAACAGACCCATCTTAGAGGCGCCAGACATGTCACCTTACCCCATGTCTAACTACTCTCACGGTCTTCCCGCTTCAGAGCCAGCTTGTAGCTCTCCTGCTCAATCTTATCGACGATCCGAATCAGTGTCGAGTATCAACCTCGAAGAGTCAATTACCGATACCGGAATCACCATTGATGATATCGCTACCTACATTCAAGCACCGGAACCTGGCGACACAAAGTGGCTTTGCTTGTATCCAGAATGTGGTAAGCGATTTGGTCGAAAGGAAAATATCAAGTCACATGTTCAGACCCATCTTGGGGATAGACAATTTCAATGTCCACACTGCCACAAATGCTTTGTACGCCAACATGATCTCAAAAGGCACGCAAAGATTCACACTGGTGTAAAACCTTATCCATGCCAATGTGGAAATAGTTTTGCTAGACATGATGCTTTGACTCGCCACAGACAACGTGGGATGTGTATTGGTGCTTTCGAAGGTGTGGTAAAGAAGACAGTCAAGAGAGGTAGACCAAGGAAAAATCGACCTGACGATGAAGAACGTGTTGAAAAGGCATCGCGAACTCGAAGCAAAAACAAGACGAGTCCTTCAGAAACATCATCATCAGAATATTCGGAAAGTGCATGCGCTCAATCACCTCGGAGTGATCTAGACATCCTTGATGACAGACCCTTTGGAGACTATGGCTTTTCTCAAAGCTCTCTTGCTACACACGACAGCTATCAATTTTCGAGAGAAAGGTCCTCTTCAGTAGCAGCATCAATATCTTCGATTTCCTCAATGACATCAATTGCCGAATGCGTAGAACCAACTTCAATACAATCAACGCATCCGCCAAATGGATTCCGGACTCGACTCAACTTTCCTGAACATCTTCGATCAAACTCTGGATCACCCACCAAATCTGCGCATAGCAATTATTCACCGCCTGCTTTATGCCAGTCATCTTCTTCACCCACGGCTAGCGCCAACCAATATGACCTAGATGCCGTCTCAAATAGTGGTGAACTCAGTAATCTGCCAAATATTACAGAGCAAGACGATATGTTCTTGGAGGCTTTTGCTGTCACAGGCAGTACCAGCATTACACAACTCGAACGTGATCCAGATCTTTTGATAGGAAAATTCGACAGTATGTTTGGCGTAGCAGCTGATAATTCTGGCATGTTCAGGAATGAAGAGGATGTCTTCTTTGGCAGTCCGTGAGAGAATTTTGGGATATTTATTCCAACTTCTTTGGATTAAAACTGTACACTAGAGGGCGTGGAATTTTAGGATTGGATAAAATAGGATGGTTTGGATGGGTGTAGGATTTAGGACATCTTTGGGTTGGATGGGGGTGGTTCATCTACCCATTCTTTTTAGGCGTTGTTTACATGTGTGTTTTTTTGGATTTAGTTTTGATTTATTGATTTTATTTAGTTATGAGAATAAGGAATGAGGATGAGGATAGGGTGATGAGGTGATGAGGTGGTCTGGGGGGTAAGGATGCACAGGATAGTGCTAAGTAATAACAATTGCACGCGGAATATTTATTGTTATCATCTTTTTGATGGTGTCTGGTTTGAATTGTGGTTTGCTTCTTATTTGATGTGTTGTTATTTGACATGGAGGTAAATATTTGATACCCATATTTTCATAACCTTTGTTCACTTGCTTGGTTACTTGCTTAACTTGCGTTATTGGGTGTTGGGCGTTTTGAATTTGGCTTTTGAGCTTGAGCTTGAGTTTGAGTTTGAGCTTGATGTTGATGTTGATGTTGATGTTGATGTTGATGTTGATGTTGATGTTGATGTTGATGTTCAAGTTGTTTGAGTTTTTCCAGTTGTTCGAGGTTATAATGTTGAGTGCTATGTCAAGTGCTGTGTGGTATGATTAAATAATATAATGAAACAATGGAAAACAATTCATTCTCTGATACTTTTGTTCCCGTAGCAGAATAGAATAGAATAGAGTTTATAGTTTTATTTTTCATTTTCAATATTCGGATGCTTTTTCATGCAGCGGATTGGGGAGTGGAGTTGGTATCAAGCTATTAGGGGATTAGGAGTTCAGTATCAGGAATACTAGCTAAGTACCTAGTATGCTTAGTTGGGGAGGCGAGGCTGTGGATGTGTGAGGGATTCTCGGGTGGGAGGTAGTTTTTTGGTTGACAGTGTTGTTTTGGAAGGTTGTTCAAAGGAGGAGGGATCTGCAGATGATTGTGAGGACTTTGGGGATTGTAAGGATGTGGTTTATTGGGATTTTGATGGTTTTTGGAGGTGGAGAATGGCATGTATTTATAATTGGGACTGAATGGAGTCGAGGGTTGAAAATCTCGGGATCGCTGGGACTTGAAGAAGATGGATAAGAGGATTTTCGTACTGGACGGGAGAGGGGAATGGATGTGTGAAATGCGATTTGTGGTGAGGAAGTTGTGGAAGTCAAATGGATGGGTGATCTGGCTGTTCTAGTCGATCGCGACAGTGATGAAGTTTCAACTCTCGTTCCTTTGGGTTGTGGATTATGGATTGGGAAACTTGATGGAACTTTGCATGCGGTGGATGAGGGTCGAGTGTGAATATGACAGATTCTTGATTTAGAAGATCTCTTTTTATAGAAAGAGACGATAGTAGTGGGGTTGCGCTTATTTATCTATATGCATACAAGAGTATCATACACCTCACTTCACTTCATCTCTATTTACTTTCTACAATAGAAGTCCTATACTTGGCGCACTCATTCGTATTAAGTTTGGATTTATATAATGTTGTGGACTCTGAATCCTGGATCACATTGGATTGGGAGTGGTTGATGTCAATCATACTTCAATGATTTTCTCGTTGTTCTTTTACTTTTGACTCCACTTTCTGTCTTGTTAGTTCTCTCCCCTCAAAGATATTGGGAGAGGTCCGTTTCTTGATTTTTTGTTATTCACTTGTGTTGATAGAGATTATTGAATTCACTTCTTGCGTCTTTCGGAGATGAGCAATTTGATACCGTACTGTTCTTCACCCTGCCTTGTTTTTGCTTTGCTTCATCGTTGTTCTTTTTCTGGTTCTTCTTTACTTACACTGTTTGAGCTTTGATCCTTCTTTGATGGGCTTCACAATGTACATTCTAATTTGATTTAAGGGGATGGTTGATCATTTATTAGTTCTCAGGCTGCGTGGAGGTTTCGATTCTTCAAACTTGTCCTCTTGGGAGAAAAAGCAGCTGCAAAAGAAAATGAAGAGAGACGCCGAAAAGATGGAAAAAGAAGAATACGACAAAAATTATGAGCTGACATTGGAACCCGGTGGTTTTATTCATCAAGCAATTCTGAGAGACCACTTCCACAAAGACAGATATGACGAAAAGAATATAGTCATGTTCAACGTACAATTCCTCGCCCCCAAAACATTCCACTTGGTCACTGGTACACCACCTCCTCAGATCCCGGTTTCCGCTGAAACCTACGCTAGACACGGATACCCATTCTTCGAGATGCATAACGAGCCAAGAGCCATCACGGGTGATTTTGAAGAGCTTTTGAAAAGTGTAGGAGATATCGACAAGGAAAAGAATGTGAATTTGAAAGTCCACCAGCAAGAGAACGGTTTGCATTTCAGGAGGGTGAAGTTGAATACAGTGGATGAGATGAGTCACTCTATACTTTATTGGCTTTTCAGAAGAAGAACACGCAGAAATGACATGAGTAGGAGATTTGAAAAATCTTTAAGGGGAGGCAATACGTCGTGGCGACTTGGACGAGTTGAGTGCTGTGCGATTTTTAAGACTTCACAGCACCGCACAATTAAAATCGACTGAATTCATGCGGCTTTAAATATCTATCCTTGTGGGTCTTAAGTTCATAACAGTTCCCCAGAAAGACTCTTTCCAATACATGACCGACCACATTATTTCTGCGCAAGTGGCCAATGTAGGAACGTGCAATAATGCACACAGTCACACTGCAAGTAAAGATCTAATTACCATCCTCCCTACACCATCAGTGGGTGTACGGACTGACGGGATACTGCAAAACTGGAGTTGCGAATATCTTTTGATACATCAACTCTCATAATTTAGAAATTATTACAATTATTCATCTGAAATGAGACAATCACCAGTGAGTGCATGGATTGATAGAACACCTCTTAACTTTCAAAAATTTTAACAAATTCATTCTTCAATTGTTTAATATCAGAATTCATATTCTAATTGTTTGATTTCTAATAGATAATTGAAATAATGTACAAGCTAAATGATTTGATGTATCAAGTGATATTAACAAGTACATTTTTGTAGTGTCTTGTTCGTACACCCAATGATGAATCAAATCAGATATCTTGATATCAAACAATTAAAGAATGAGTTTGTTAAAAATGTCGATAATCAGAAAGTGACCCGTCAATCTAAACACCCACTAGTGCGTCCAATGATCAGATATGACATTAATTCAAACTAGGTAACTAGAAGAATAATTAGCATAGCGATCCTGAATGCCATGTGTCCACAGAGAACCGAAATTTATTATAATGGCCTAGGGTACCATTAAGCCAGGCTATTACCCCTAAGGGTACGAAATCCAGTTTTATCATACATCACATGCTTATTCAGGCTAGCGCCTTCCCCATCCACAGGAAAACTCGATCACAGGATCAGGAAACATCAAGCCGGAGGCCAAGGGTCATCTCAATTGCCTACAGAAGAGAAATTCGGAATGTGAGAGAACCATTACTGACGACGTTTGACATTAGACTACTGAAAAAGTTATTATGACCCAGTCGCCAAGACTCTGGATTCATCGTGAATTTACAGCACTGAACTAATGGAAACGGGCAGTTTCGAAGCAAAAATTCTTTTCAATGTATGGCTTTATCTAAGAAATAGTTTTGTGGTTGAGATTTCTGCTATTCAAAAACTCAGAGGCCATACACGTTGAGAGCTTCTGAGTTGCCAATTACCCCACAAAATTAGAGTTGCAGCCGATGTCTCGCTTATAAATTTAGGGGGAGACGGACTAGAAGTTCCTTAGTACATGGTATTCCAAACGTCATTTCTACACCCACAGTGAGAAATTTGTGCGCTCCACTGACCATAAATCTGAGCTAGTTTTGTAAATTATCTTAGCTTGCTAATACTCATCTACATCATGAAATGCGACACTAAGCTTTTTTTTCTCGCACGAATCTTTTGTATACAAATAATACTCAAATACTGCAGCACTTCTCGAACACCTAAAGTACTCACGACAAATAATCAACGTACTCAAATTCTCACCAAAATACCAAAATGTCTCAAAGATTACTTGTTCAAAACTTGCCTTTTGGGGCCGATAAATTCTCAGCGCCCGTTCAACAACAGGCTGAAGAAATTATTCACAGATGCGTCGGATACCGCCCCGAGAACAAATGCGACTGCAGCGATGTTGAGAAATTCAGTCCAGGTTCAAAGATTCGTGACGATCCGCTGTTTTTGAAGATCCTTTCTGGTATGGCTGACGTACAAATCGCCGGCCCCAGACAGGAAATACTGAATGGACATGGGTCGGAACAATATGCTGCACAGAGTCGTAAAGAAAGAATAAAGAACTGGATTTCACATGTGCAAAGCGAAAGCGAAAATTTTACCAAGTACGAGTATGATATGAAGGAGGATATCAACAATGGAGATACTACTCTCAATGGGTATGCGGTCAACGCGAGCCTACCGAGCCCAGCAGAGCGCTTCGAAACTAAAGAAGAAGTTGATCTGAGAATTCAATCTGCTGTTGACTTCATATTATATTACACTGACCCTCTCGCATTCTTCGCAAGCCCCGCCTCCGATGCCTATGTTGATGATAGTTATTAGGACGAAATCGATAGTGATAAGAGTTAAGACTTACTGGAGTTAAGCTCCCAAAAATGCGACGATTCGTGCTGTGTATAATCTCTCATCAGCTGAGATTTTTGAGATGGAACAATACTATATAATGGCATGTGGATAATCGCTTTCAACTCCAGTAGGAGATGTGGATACAGGAAACCTCAGGGGCTCTCGGACTTCTAATTGAAGTCCCCCTCTTGGTCATCAAATTCTCTCGCCTGTAAGTCATATTCGCTATCCAATCCACGCCCTCCACCGTCTGGCAGAATATCTCGAAATATTTGTTGTATATGTGCTTCAGGCTATGAAAGCCAAGAGATAGATGCCTATTCCAGACAGTCTTCAGGCCTCGTTGAATTTGGCATTATTTGATACTTGGTCATTACTTGTGAAGAATATGAGGCTAACTTCTCATTCTGAAGATGGCAATGATACTCAGCAAAATCTTCCCCACCCAACAACGAAACAAGATTCCCAGGCAGGCCAATTGCATCGAAATAAAGACTGGTGTAAAGGGGCAAAGATGTATCAAGATCTGAACCGATTCAAGGGCCTATCTTGCAGCTTGATCGGTGTCTCCCGAAGCAACCTGCATTAGTAACGCCATCAGAAGCTTGGCATCTGTATCGAAGCTCTTGATGCCCCTGATTGATAATGTGCCATTATACTGAGAGGATCTAGAAACACAATCAATAACCATGAGGATTTTACTTGGAAAATCACAGGCACGAAGAGGATATCTTGATGGATTTGTTGTGGGGATCCAGCGTGAATGGTTATTTATTAAACAAATACTTCGAGGAGTATCAAGTCTTGTCTTCTTCTTGTAATCTTAAAGACAATATACGTCGAATGTAACATTCTCATCACTTCTTTCTGACCTTAGAGCATGCGAATAACGAGGTGTCTTTGTTGATGGTGGGGTAGAGAGTGCAATCATACCGGCCAAAGGGTTATGACTCAGCATGCTTCATGGCTTCAACGTCACACCACACTTCATAGTTCAAAGGATACAAGTTACCCAAATCATAAGAAACGTAGGTCGAAGGTTTTCACGAACGTGTCATGGCTTCATCCGAGGACTTTATATTGTAAAGTCATATTCTCAGACTTCATCCTGCCAATTTCTGTGGGATTATTACATGTGACAGTTGCTTTGCCGTTCTCTCATTATCATACATAGAACATCGACATCATGGAAAGATTATCAGGGCTAAAATATGAGTCAAACTGCAGACAGGAATTATCGTACGATCTAATCATTCACTGTCTCGGCCAAATCTTCTTATTCATTGGCTCATCTTAATGGCCTTGCTGATATGACGTGTCGTAGATTTTCGACACTCCTAGTACACTCTATCGTCTGCACTATAGGAAACCAAAAGCTTCTGAAGTCTGACTTTGATATCAGAATAATTACCGCAGAAGTCAAGATGTAATCACTGATAGGCGTTGTCTTCTCTACAAATATGGGTGATCCCTTACTACGAATGGCGGGCCTACCAGGAATGAGATCTCTTGGAAACGGTCCACTGCCTGATGATGGAGATGATCGCATACCAACCGAAAGATATCTTTACAACACCAGAGAATTGTACGACAGTAAAGGATGGTGGTCTCCTTGGTTGGATTACCACGGATAATATGTTAACATATCCAGTAAAGACTAAGAAACCAGATGCCGATTTCGTCTCCAATGATTATTATGGGGTTCCTACACTTGAAGATAAGATTAGGATATCGATGCGACATGCAATGGGGGAGTTTTGTTGGATAAGAGGGTTTGTCGAAGTGTTGCGAAGACGAGAAAACGACGGTAGCCAAGAGGCGAAAGAGGTTTTGATCGATTTTCTCGGGTTCATTAGCACGCGTGTGGTGTGGTCTGTGAAATGTTGCAACCAAGAATGGAAGAGTGATCGTAACACTCCTATCATTGAGGTGGGTGTTTGATTCGCCACCATGAACGATTCAACTTTCCTTGTAAATGAAAGGCTAACAAAGTTATTCTTGCAGAAGTCTTTGACATGGTTGAAGAGAAACAAATTGTTTCATCCCTGCATAAAGCACATCTCTATAGATTTTGACCCTAGAGATGAATTTAATGTGCCCTTTTTTGAGGATTTTGTTACTTTATGCTGGTACATATCAACCCATCTTCCCGACCTTGATTCTGCAATTCTTTGTTTGACAATTGCTGGAGATGATTTCCAGGAGGTCTTAAAATCTCCAATGAGGTTCTCTTGGGTTCAAGCTTTTAGAGAATTGCGAATTGGGAAGGTTAACATCTGCCCGAAGTTGACCAAATCGGGTGAATCAGATGAGTCCAGGAGGTATAGGTCACGGCATTCCATCGATGAAAGATTTGCTTACTTTTTGGATTTCCATCATGCTAGGCTTGGCATAAAGAGCCTCCTTCTCAATGATTTGAATAATGAGAGAGGGTTAATCACTCATATGTTGACCCCGGGCTCTAAGCTTTGGGGCTATACTGATGACATTGATGATGATGCCTACATCTCCTTACAGTACATGGAGAGCTAGTTTAGCTATACTGACGATATTGCTGACAATGCTTACATTTTATGACAATCTATGGAAGGATGGGATGAAAAACTGCCCAAACCGCTTCGTTTTAGAAATATCAAAAGGTGTCTCAGACCTTTGAGACTACAAAGATATCAATTACCTCGTCAAAGTCCTCCCAATCAACGAGTACCACAGCAAATGATTCAGCGGGCACCACGAGCGGCTTTTCGCAATATTCTTCCAGGTGATGGATGGGCAAGATCGATTTGGTATCAAATGAAGTTGTAAATTAGTATTAGGTTAATAACACGCGATGAATTTTCAAAAAGAATAAATATTTTGTGATATTACCACCGAAACTTTAGAGTCTAACCTAAGACAGAAAGCTCGAATTGCTAATAGAGCCCGTCTATAGCGCTTTCAAAGCAGGGTGTCGGAATTTAAGTGAGCTTGAGGATGTTCTGGACTTTACTTCATCTTTGGGTGACTTTCTTTGTAATTGCTACCATGTGCGACTGAGCTACATTCTTACTTTTCCAGAGATTTAGTTAGTTGATCGAGCGAATAACCGTCTCCTCTGTATCGTATTACTTCTGGGTCAAAATACACATTGAGAGAAATTAAAAATAAATATCCAATGAGTAAGTATTCAGGAAGCTGTTTCATTTGTCAGTAAAGAACACGTACAATGATAGTTGTCGGCTTTACTAGTCGAAAAATAAGCTCCTCCTAGAGAGAAAAATATGACCAGACTCTACCAAATCGACTCTAGTGATCAAAGCAAGATGTACAAGAATCGAGAAATTTGATATTAGGGTTCGAGGTAGTGTGAGCTTAGGAAAATGACGCGATTTTTAGCTTGAAGATCTTCGTTTAATTTGGAGTATAAAACTCTGCACTTCTCCTGCAATTCTCAATTTCTTCTCAACTTCCGAATCCATCAAAAATGAATATGGAGCTGGGTATTCTTTGGATAATCCTCCAAATGGATCCATTCTATCGTGGAAGATCGAATTCACCTTGAGAGTCTTTTGGCCTCGGATCCTGAGGCTCAAGCCTAACAATATCTACGGCAATCATATTCATACCTAACAAGCTTCTCAAGTCAGTATTCCTCACCTTGCTTGATACTATACACTAACATGATGGACCTTTAGTCCAATACCAATAGTCCATATTGTAAGACATTAGCACTTCAAATGCTCTTCGACTTCGCAACCAAAGCAACAGAAAATGTGTGTAAGGAGTATTTTTCACCTTCTTGTGGGTGGAAAATGAGATCTCCCTTGCATCACGCCGCAAATTCTATTCATCGACTCCGGCGCGAAGACAAATGTCTCTAATTTTTGGATGCAACAGAAGCATTCGCTCCCTCTATTCTGTTCTAACATGGAGTTTTAAGATTCACGAATATGAATCACTGATTAGCCCGAGATTTAAGCATCTCAGAACCCCTCATATCAGATCAATACTTCATCACATCAGATAGATCGTTTCAATTCGACGTTAGAGCACCTGTAATGAATCAGCATAGATTCAAATGGTCTAGAGTACGATCTGACAATGAAGTCATTCAATCTCTAGATCCGAATGTAAATTTGAGATAGTTTGAAACGCTGAGGTCATTTGGATCGTCGAAATATTTCAAAGCATCAGAATATTTTCAGAGTTTGGACAACTGTAGGCTCTGAGATATCTCCCAATATCAGAATTCTTTCAAACATCGATATACATCTAGATATTGAGAGTCTTCCATTCTGAAGTACCTTCACGCGTTCATTTGCTCTCAGACACAGAAAGACTTTCAGACATCGAACGTGTCTCACCGTCGGACTACAATCCGGACTCATATACATTCTACCCTCATTCCCAATCCGCCAATTACTATTTATGAATGAGGCTAGTGTTCAGTATCAACTATATATAAATTAAATTTAACGACAGACTACCCTCGTTTGGAACGATCTCTTAGCGGAATGGTTAGTGTTACTACTTAATCCCTCATGCTTCCCTTTTTTGGTAATTTGAACAGAGTCCCGTGAAGGATGATGTTCACATTATTAATCGTGGATCCCATGTGTTCAGCGGGCTGGAAAGCTGTCATAATCTACATACGCTCTGGTGTATGTTTTGATTTAGTTGTGTGCGAGCTGGTGCCCGCATCGTTTTGGAGCGCTTGTGCTTGAGGCTGGAGTGAGTGCGGATACAAAGGAAAACCCCTTCTGCTCCCCTCTTCAAAACCTCAGCACAATCGTTTTATCGCTAAGCTCTAAAACACGAACATCCTGCCGAAGATCTGGGATCCTATAGGAAGGGAAACGGCAAAAGCTCAAGGATTATCTTGTTACAATCCTCATGTGTGTAGTCTTTTCGACTACAACATCCAGGGGTTAGTTCCGTCGGAAAGCAACTTGAAGGCTTTGTGGCCCCTCCGACCGCAATATATAAAGCGAGGTTCGTCGGAAAGCAACTTGATGTTCTTTTTTTCTCCGATTACAACACTCAAAGGCTTTGCCTGTTGAGAAGCTCATTTTCAACAATACGAAGGTAAAGAATACCACCCCTTCTCTCTTGCTACAATTTACTAATCGATTATCTAGACTCGACGACAATAAGATCTTAAGACTCTACGATTCACACACAACGTACTCATCAAAACATCGAAATCGGTCAACAATTATTAACGGAATCGAAAGCTACGACTACTCGTGATGGATTTCTAGGATTCTAACATAGCGGGGGCAAATGGATAATCAAGGCCAAGATCCAAGTGTGTTTCCGCCGGAAAGCAACTTGAGGATTCTCGCATCTTGAGTGATTACATCCAGGTGGAGTCACTCTTTGTTTCGGAATCACAGTTCAAGACTTCGGTTTCCGTGATTAGTTTCTGTCTTCTGACTCCTTACCATCCAAGAACCAGACCAGTAACCACGATCATATTCCAATTAGTGCTATGCTTGCGCATGATCATTCCCACATTTTCAGTGTCATTATGCCACTGAGAGCGAAATCAAGGCCAAGATCCAGGATAAGGAGTGGTTTTTTCAGAGGGCGATTCGATAATTCCTTCTTGACTGCATGAGTCTATCGACAACGTCAAGGCCAAGATTCAAGTCTTCCTAAAAAAACATCAGGGCCAAGATCCATGTCTCGCCCAATGGCGTCAAGGCCAAGATCCAAGACTCTCTCATCCCACAAACCAACACGACTCGTCTCCAACACCACAACAGCAACAATCAAAATCTGCATCAACCAGGCCATCTTGCAGGTCAAAGTCTCGTTCGTCATCGCAATTAAGCAGAAATCAAAGTCAACCACATTCTCTAAGCCTTTATCTAACCACTCAAACTGACGCTGGCCTGAACTTGATGAAGTACACATGATACGAGGGCATCAAATACAGCAGGCTGTGAGATGCAATCGCAAGGAGTAGTAATTTAGAATCAAGAAGTTGGATAAGCAAAATATGAAGGCTAAGATGCAAGTCTGGTTCCACAATGTGAAGGCTAAGATTCAAGTCCGGTTCTACAATGTGAAGGCTAAGATTCTAGTCCTTTCTAATACTTATCAAATCTTGATATATTCTACTTTCATATTACAACAGGGAAAAACTCCCCAATTTCAATACGCAGCTTTTTATTATTATCCAACCATCGACTATTTCGCCTACATCGACTGAATATGGAAGTTTTGGATATCGATTATACGGGAGGAAATTAGTGGATCGGATTATTTTGATGGGTAATTGGAGTGCAGCAGGGTGGAAAGGAGGAGATGGATGAGGATTGATGGGTAGATTGAAAAAAATGAAGGATGTAGGATTCGTTTGTAAAACAATTGTACACATGATCTATTTACTCTGATGACAGAATGCCCGTGTGAATAATACTTGATGATGTCTATTAATGCGACTAGACTATGATAATATGAAGATGAAATTACAAATCTATTGGGAATCTCTAATGTCCATCTCTAACACCCACCAAACGCCCCGTTTTAACCCTACACATCTCCTCATACAAATCATTACTTTATTCTTTCTTTCCACCCCCACCCCGACAATCTTCCAGAACCACCTATAACCCCTAAGGCGTACTAACATAACTCCTCTGCCTCTCCAACTCCTCCTCCCCCACCCTCCTCTCCCCCTCCCCCTTCTTCCCCATTCCCTCCTCATCCTCCCCCCCATAAGCAAACCGACTCTTCTCTCTAATCTTCGCACCCCACACCCAGAACACAAACGGAATCGCACAGCACGCCAACGCTATAAAAGCCAGCAACGAACTCGCCCACTGGTATCCCAGTCGCGCATACATTTGTTCCGTAAAAAGCACCACCGCGGCTCCCCAAAACGATCTCAAGAAAGTTTTCGCCGCGAGCGCTGAAGCTGCTTGATGTTGATAACTATCAACTAGGTAATTATTCGCAGCGTTATAGAGGAAGATAAATCCGAATCCGACGGGGAAACCACCGATAGCCGGGCCGATCCAATGGAGATGGGGATAGGAAGTCCAAGCGAAAATAAAGAGACCGATGGGGATGAACCAGCACGAACACATCATTGGGATTAGTCGTACTTCAGCTGGGGGATGTCCATTGTATTTTCGTACTTGGTTCATGTAATTGCGGTTGACGATTGGAGCGCACAGAGCCGATGCGATGACGCCGAGAGCGAGAGGAATGAACATGAGTCCTGTTGTGCCTGCAGAGTAACCTTTTCCTTCTTGGTAGACGATGGGGAAGGCGACGAAGAACATGTAGAGGAGACCGTAGAGGACGCTCATGTAGAGGGAAATGAGGAAGACGATGAGTTCTCCGAAGAGCAGTTGGAAAGGACGGATGAGGAAAATACGGAGACGTTCTGCAAAGGGTCGGAGATCGAGATCCTGTTCTGTGACGTGTTCCTGTTCGCCGGTTCGCTCGCGCATTTTTCTGGCTCGTCGAGCGAGGATTGTGGGAGCGTAGGTTTCGGGGACGGTGAAGGTAATGAGGACCCAGACGATAAAGGCGAAGAT